TAAGTGATTCATGCCATTCTGAACATAAACCGACCAAGTGTTTCCTTGAATACCAAGACTCGTATTTTGTCCACTATTTGGGTCATAAGAAACCAGATCATTCATCTTAGTTGAAAACAAAACTTCACCATTGTTCCTAAATCCAACAACTTGCTCCTAGCCAGCAACTAAATTTATATGATACAACTACTCCAAGATTCCAAAACCTTGTACTGCTTCATCATGACCCATACTTCACATAAAACACTATCTATCCCCCACCTTGTCATGATTTTTATTGAAAGTATATAAACCTATCCTACCTCCTTCCGCCCCAGCCCGTTATCATCCCCAAATGTAAAGAAAATTGTCTTCCACAACTAAACTTATTCTTGTCCCCCCCCCCCCCCCACTTCTCTCTCAAAATTTCTCAACATCTGATTCTGACTCCGTTAATATTCCTCCCTAACTTTTAGAGAAATCCTACTAAAACTTCCTGCTAAATCCTTAATTCGATTCATATTTGTCTGCAAATCATGGCTTTCCCTCATCACAAGTTCTCCTTTATCTCCGCTAACCTCGCCCAAGCCCCACATTCCAACACCCTTCTTGGAAGGCGTTACGTTGTTACTTGTAATAAAGAGAACTATTTGTTGTTTCAAGACTCTAAAAATCAACCCTTTTCCATACATTAGAATTGAATTTCCCTTTCAAATGCCAACGAGGTATTTAACAATTTTGGCTTTAAGCTACCAAAGTACTTGACCTTCCCTAGCTCCATCACTTCATATGCATAATCTAAGAACGGACATATGAGGCGACTCAGGCTTAATCAAAAGTGAAGGTAAGGTTATAAACTTCTGAATAGAAGGGTTCACGGAAAAAGACTCCACAATTGACCACACAAATTGTCAAACAAACACACTATGCCTTAATAATAATAGTATTACTTTTTTAAATAGCCTTTTTAAGATGCAAATTAATATTGCTGGAATAATGATCCGAAGTGGGAAAAGGAATCCTAAATTGTTTAGGATTTTTTGTTTAGTATTTCTTTAATTCATGTCTAGTTGAGATTCATTTATTCTAGTTCATATGGGAATAAGTTTTCTAGTTCTAGTTTGATTTGATTTCTAACTATTATGAATAGGGAATTACTAGTTATTTTCTATAGAAAGAAATACTGAGAAAAAGAAAGAAATATAGAGGAACAAAAAAAACTCGTAGTAAGATTCAAGATCTTTTGAGATTATGAATAAAATATTTTCTTCAAAATAGTATTAGAGCTTCTACAATCCTAATAATTATTTTTGAAGAGAATCCATTATCGGTGGATGGCTATGAGTCATAAATGTCGTCCGCTTGCCAATGTTTATGTTGACAAAGACTAGACTAATGATATATGCATGCTCGGGGAAGGAGTTAGAAAAAGATTGCAAGTTTAAAGAGGTACAACCAAACATGACACAAGAGAAGAAGCTCTTCTCTAATTAAAATTTGGAGGAAGGTAAAAAATAATTGTTGGTGCGAAGTGTATCAACACTGGAAGTTGAAGAGAAGTGTCTCAGCACAACCAAGAAAAAAATGTGAGTTTGGAGAAAAAATGTTCTAACACTTGGAAGTTGGA